GCCCTGCAGTCCTCCCGCCACGACTGTGACCTGCTGCGGGAACAGTATGAGGAGGAGCAGGAATCCAAGGCCGAGCTGCAGAGGGCGCTGTCCAAGGCCAACAGCGAGGTGTCCCAGTGGAGGACCAAATACGAGACGGACGCCATCCAGCGCACAGAGGAGCTGGAGGAGGCCAAGTACGGGCTGTGAACACTGGGGGAGGAAGAGGACATGGTTTCCTAGGTGCACAACTCAGCAACTCCCAGAAACACTATGATGATGACGTTGATGATGGTAACGTAATAGTAATAGCAGACACTAAATTTACTGAGCACACGCTACACGTCAAGTACTATAAATACACATTAGCTCATTTCGTTTTCATAGCAACGTCATGTTTTATCCCAATGTTACAGATGAGGAAACAGGCTGTGAGAGGTTAACCAACAAACCCAAGGGCACATGATTAATAGATAGTACAGCTAGGATAGAATCAGATATTCTGATTCCAGAGCCCACCTTCTTAAGTACTGCAGTAGGAAGATACAGCTCTTCAAACTCATGCTAGAGGCCACCAAACTGTACATAATGTCCAGGGTTGGTCTAAATAAAATAAAGCCTTAGCCTGTGTATAGACCAAAGTAGATCTTCTTGGGCTTCAGGGCGAAAGGCTTTTCCGTACCATAAAGATGTAGAGTTGGCACACAATGGGGAATGAAGAATGTACGTGATTCAGAAGGAAAAAAGAAAACCCGCCTTGCTTAAACTGTCCTGATTTATCCATCAATTTCTTTCTCTGGTGAGAACTCCAAATATATATGAAAAGAAACTACTTTTCTTTAGGGAAAAAGTACATAAAATGAAAGAAAAGTCTGAGAAAGCAAATGAATATGCTCAGTACATTTTTGCCCAATAAAATATCTAGTTAGCCTCAAATCCTTTTTGGAATGAGATGAGATATATAAATCAATCAATAAAATTGTCCTGGATAATCATTTTCTGCAACTCAATCAAAAGTCCTGAAAACCCCGAATTATTTATATAGTAAGACACATACAACGGAGCACTAACAGCAGCCTCTAAGAACTGAATTCAGGTGCCCACCACTTTGGACCTTTTCATGCAGGACCAACGGAGAAAGCAGCTCTGGCTGCCACAGTTTGGATAACCATATCTTATCTGCCATTATAGAAGCAGAACTGTCAAAGGATGTTATTGCTTGCCCCTGTTCCAGAGCACTCTCCTTAACTGCCTGGCTAACGTTTCAGGAAGAAGCTGGCCCAGCATCTGCAAGAAGCCGAGGAGCACGTAGAAGCCGTGAACGCAAAATGCGCTTCCCTCGAGAAGACAAAGCAGCGGCTCCAGAATGAGGTGGAGGACCTCATGCTGGACGTGGAGAGAACCAACGCGGCCTGCGCCGCCCTGGACAAGAAGCAGAGGAACTTCGACAAGGTAACTCGTGCAGCAGCCTCTGCTTTCCACCGTCTTCCTCTGTCCTTCACAACAGGTAACCCCTCTCGGTTTTTCAGATCCTGGCAGAGTGGAAACAGAAGTATGAGGAAACCCAGGCTGAGCTTGAGGCCTCTCAGAAGGAGGCCCGCTCTCTCAGCACTGAGCTGTTCAAGATGAAGAATGCCTACGAGGAATCCTTGGATCAGCTGGAAACTTTGAAACGAGAGAACAAAAACTTGCAGCGTGAGGCCCTTTCACTTGCAATAATATTCATGCCTTGGGAATGGTTCCCTTAGGTCCTCTGTCTGATCAAATCTCTACTTGTCTTTTACCCAAACAACAGAGGAGATTTCTGACCTCACAGAGCAGATTGCAGAAGGAGGGAAACATATCCATGAACTGGAGAAGATAAAGAAACAAGTGGAACAAGAGAAGTGTGAACTTCAGGCTGCTTTAGAGGAAGCAGAGGTATAGGTCCAACTGTGCATTATAAACAAATCAGGTCAGAAAAGATTTTGGCCCATCCACATAGATCGAATAAAAAAAATAAACAGCACAAAATTAATGGAAGGAAAGGTATGCAGAAAAACTTCAGAATGCTTCCGTTCCCCGCTAATGTCACCCCTTGCTGTCATTAAAGGCATCTCTTGAACATGAAGAGGGAAAGATCCTGCGCATCCAGCTGGAGTTGAACCAGGTCAAGTCTGAGGTCGACAGGAAAATTGCTGAGAAGGATGAGGAAATTGACCAGCTGAAGAGAAACCACATCAGAGTGGTGGAGTCGATGCAGACCATGCTGGATGCTGAGATCAGGAGCAGGAATGATGCCATCAGGCTCAAGAAGAAGATGGAAGGAGACCTCAATGAGATGGAAATCCAGCTGAACCATGCCAACCGCATGGCCGCAGAGGCCCTGAGGAACTACAGGAACACCCAAGGCATCCTCAAAGTCAGTGGGTTCAAAAGACAGCCCCAAAGTGGTTGGGGTGATTGCACCCCTGAGAAGGAGGTGTCTCAATGATTGTTCATTCCACAGGACACCCAGATCCACCTGGATGACGCTCTCCGGGGCCAGGAGGACCTGAAGGAACAGCTGGCCATGGTGGAGCGCAGAGCCAACCTGCTGCAGGCCGAGATCGAGGAGCTGCGGGCCACTCTGGAGCAGACGGAGAGGAGCAGGAAAATCGCAGAACAGGAGCTCCTGGATGCCAGTGAGAGGGTCCAGCTCCTGCACACCCAGGTGGGGTTTGGCACAAAGAACTTACCTTCAATAAATGCTTATGTGTCCCAAACAATGTAAGCTTAAGTGTTTTATATAACAGCCAGGTTTTATACTTCTACCAAGTTTTCACTGTATATTGAGATCTTTTATTGTTTTATTTTACATAAATTATTGATTCACTTCCTAAAATATTCTAAAGCTGCCCATATTCTCTTGTGTTTGTATCTTTATTGACCCTTGTTATCAATATTGGCATCTTTATTTTGGAGAATTGGAATATTTGAACATCTGTTATAAATTTTGTCCCTATGAATGGTCTCATTGGTAAATGGCAGTTACAAAATTTACAGCTATTTGGTCTAATTATGGACTACGTACTTGGAAGATAATGAATATTCTATAACATTTTAATTTTATTTACTATATACTATATAGTACTATATATGTACTATATAACACACTAATATTGAAGGGCATCTGACTTGTAAATTTTTATCTGAAATTATTTTTAAAAATAGCTAGCAATAAGTACTTTGGTAACATGATAAAAAAAACTGTAACTTATCTTTAAACAGAATACCAGCCTGATCAACACCAAGAAGAAGTTGGAAACAGACATTTCCCAAATGCAAGGAGAAATGGAGGACATTATCCAGGAAGCCCGCAATGCAGAGGAGAAGGCCAAGAAGGCCATCACTGATGTGAGCAGAGGGCAACATGGTCCTGGTCAAACTTGAATCCTGATGTGCTAGCTCAGCTCTCTCATCTGGTTTTGTTTTACTGCTCATCAGGCAGCCATGATGGCCGAGGAGCTGAAGAAGGAGCAGGACACCAGCGCCCACCTGGAGCGCATGAAGAAGAACCTGGAGCAGACAGTGAAGGACCTGCAACATCGTCTGGACGAGGCTGAGCAGCTGGCCCTGAAGGGCGGGAAGAAGCAGATCCAGAAACTGGAGGCCAGGGTGGGTCTCTCAATCTCTATCTACTTCCATTTCCTCCCAGTGCCTTATTAGTTCAAAGTTCTTAAAACCTACTTATTTGCAGGTACGTGAGCTGGAAGGAGAGGTTGAGAGTGAGCAAAAGCGTAATGCGGAAGCTGTGAAAGGTCTGCGCAAACACGAGAGAAGAGTGAAGGAACTCACTTACCAGGTACAACAATGGTTTTTATCAGCCAAGTGCTCCCCATACATACGTGAAACACTCATATAAATGAAACAACAGTCAAGTGCTTTTGAAGTAAGGCCCTGTGGTTTTCATTACCTTTCAGACAGAAGAAGATCGGAAAAATATTCTCAGACTTCAGGATTTGGTAGATAAACTTCAGGCCAAAGTGAAATCTTACAAGAGACAAGCTGAGGAGGCTGTAAGTATCCTTAAGATGGAAGGGAAGACAGAAGTCCCTTGTTAAGAAAAGCTAATGAACAAATAATTAGACTTACCCCTCCTTGTAGTAGTAAATAAGCCATTTGCTTCTTAGAAGACTGTACTTCTTAAAAACATTTGCGCATTTTTGTACTTATTGCTTATTATTTGTAATATTAATAGCTTGATGTTAAAAGTAAATTTTCAATCCTCAAAGAAACCTCAAAAAATTTCAAAGCAGAAATAATGAAGGCCACATTCTCTAGCCATAGTGTGATAAAATTATAAAGTGGTTGGAAATATAAACACAAATTCCCAAATGCTTAAATGTTAAAAAACTAACTTTCCAAAATAATTCGTGGGTTAAATTGGAAAGAAAAAAAACTACTGAATAATTATTAATTATAAGTAAAATTTCAAGGAAGATGCTACTTTTATAAACCTAAAGAGTGTAGTCAAAGCTGTCCTTGGAGGACAATTCATTACTTTATGAATCAAAATTTTTTAAAAATTGACAGTCCAATAAAGAAATTAAAAATAATAATGAAAGAAGTACTGTTAAAGATAAAGGTAGAAATTGATAAATTAAAGTATAATATTTTCTACTATGATAATTTTAAGTAATATCTGATAACTTCTGGGGAGTTAATAAAATAAATACACTTATAACTAGTTTAATCAAGGAAAAAGAGAAAGAAAATACAAACTCACATTAGAAATGAGAAAGGGGGGTTGCCAGGCAGGCTCAGTCAGAAGAGCATGCAACTTTTTTTTTTTTTTAAGATTTTATTTATTTGTAAAAGAGAGAGTAAGAGCATGAGCAGGGGGAGGAGCAGAGGGGGAGGGAGAGGGAGAGGGAAAGACTCTCCAGCAGACTCCGTACTGAGTGTGGGAGCCCAATCCCATGACCCTGAGATCATGACCTGAGCCAAAACCAAGAGTCAGACACTTAACCGACTAAGGCACCCAGGGGCCCCAAGGATGCGACTCTTGAGCTCAGGGTCATGAGTTCAAGCCTCACATTGGGCACAGAGATCAGGAAAGGAAGGAAAGGAAAGAAAAGAAAGGAAGGGAACGGAAGGGAAGGGAAGGAAGAGAGAAAGGGGACAAACCATACAAGTAGGAAATTATTTTTTAATGTAAAATATAAATCTGTCAACAAAGTTGAAATCTTTGAGATTGATGATTTTTTTATAGAAGGTCATAAATTACTAAGTTGGCTAAATAACTTATTTGAGAATTACTTCTGAAAAAGGACTCAGGTCCAGACAGGTCTTTCAAAATTTTAAGTAACAGATAATCCTTGAGCTATGTAAGCCATTCCAGAGCATGGGAAAAGATGGAAAGCGTTCCAAATCATTTTAAGAAGCTCATGTAACCGTCATACCAAAACGTGTCCAAGAGAGAAGCGGCGGGGGAGGATGGAACTAAAGGCAGTTTTACTCGTAATTCCAGCAAAGATAAATAACTAAACCCTTTATTAAGGGGATTGTCCATCAGTGTTTAAGCAGGTTAATTCCTTCAATGTAAGGATTACTTAATATTAGGGAATTTGTCAGTAGAATCATTACATCCAAAATAGGAGAAAAATGATTGTTTTGAAATGTTCCAAAATGATATATAAAATTCAACATTTATTTCAATTTAAAGAGACCTTTAAGAAATTCATCCTTAATATGATATAGAATATCTATTTAAGCCCACTGTCATCTTCTAGCAAACATTAACAAGAAGGAAGATTTCAAGAGTACTCTTGCCTTTTTTAAAAAAAAAAATTTTATTCATTTGAGAGAGTGAGAGCGATCACAAGCAGGGGGGAAGGGTAGAGGGAGAAGCAGACTCCCCACTGAGCAGGGAGCCCAATGTGAGACTTGCCTGGGATCATGACCTGAGCAGAAGGCAGACGCTTAACCAACTGAGTCATCCAGGTGCCCTGTACTCTTGCCATCTCTGCTCTTATATTTTTTTCTTGCTTTACTTAATAGGTTTTCGTTGAAAAATAGGTATGCAATTATTTATGGGACACCAAGCCCCAAATAAATCATAATGTTCACTTCAATGATAACCAAAATCCAGGAGGTGGTAAGACAACAATGTTCCCTGCTGGGTATTTTAAGTTCTCCACAGATACCAAGTCCTTTCTTCCCTTAAGCCAACAGAACCTAGAAAGATGCATAGTATGAGTTCCTTACAATTCCATTTTTATTCTCAGGAAGAACAATCCAACACAAATCTATCCAAATTCCGTAAGCTCCAGCACGAGCTGGAGGAGGCTGAGGAACGGGCTGACATTGCTGAGTCCCAGGTCAACAAGCTGCGGGTGAAGAGCCGAGAGGTTCACACAAAAGTCATAAGTGAAGAGTGAGCATGTCCGGATGCTATGGAATGACTGAAGAGAAGCACAAAATGTGAAGCCTTTGGTCATTTCCCTCTGTAATTATTGTCCATTCTACCCTATTGCAAAGGAAATAAAGAGCATAGGGTATTTTGCAAACAACATCCTTAGACTGGTCCTTCAAAGCGGTGACAAAGCTAGAATAAGCATAAGGCTATCAAACAATTACACTCAACCTGCCACTAAGAAGTAGTACTCACTTTTATTTTAAGTCTACAGGAATACTTTAAGACTATAAAACTGTTATCTATCAGGGAAGTCTGTTCTGGAAGAAATCTGGAAGTCACCTTTTATTTCTTTCTAACCTCTTCTTAATACCAGGATATAATAGGATCCTAGAAAGCTCCTGATCCCCCCGACATGAACCTAATTTTCCAGGTCTATGCAAAGAATGGCACTGGCTATATTCTCAAATAGGGGATTCAGATTACACTATATCATTACTTCTCCTTGATGTTATCAAGAATACAAATCCTAAGTATTATTAATAGCCCATAAAGACTTTCATCATGAATATCCATATACTGTATATTCAGAGAACGCACACCAGGTAATGGGTATGACATGAGTGAGATGTGACCCTTCTCCCTATGAAAGCTACAAGGTGGCTCTCAAGTCTGGGGCCAAGAGAATATTATTTTATATATTATAATGTAATATCAGTAAGTTATTTATTAGCCTATGTTTCCAGACTTGATGGCTGTCTTTATAATCATGTGAAGGGCCAAAATAAATTATCAGAAGTGTCCATAGAATATGAGTCCTAAAATAGACAATCTGGGTGTAAATTCAACACACATAACCATCGGTATGACTTTGGTGCAAAACGCAGAAATAGTAGCAATATGAATTACTCAGAGAAGTTTTCCTAGATGATCAAGATTTTTTAAACTGGATTCCATTGAGACACATAGCCCAAAGTATAACCTTCCTGGACAGCATAAAGGAAAAGCTAAGTGGTAACTACCCATATGAATGGAAAGCAAGAGTATATGGGTTTAAATTGCACCGTGGGAGAATCAGACATGTGGGAACAGCTTAGCAGGTAATTAGGATTCCCATTGTCTCACTGGCCCAAGGAAGGGTGTGGGATCGCCCTTCTTCCTTCTTTGGCCCATCTTTCCCTTTGTTCCACATGACCTATAAATGCTGAAGTGCCTTATAATTTGGCAGTAATAAGCAAAAAACAATGTCTTACAACAAGCTTACTGCAAAACCTATCCAGCACGGGTCAAAAGGAGGTCTTAAAATTCCTATCAAATCCTACTGAGAACATTATGAAAATGTCCTCTCTTCCTGAGAAGCATTGCCCACATTTTTCAGATGCCTGCTAAGAAAAAAAATGGATGTGGGGGGGAAAAAAACAACAATAACAACACGGATATGTAAGGAAGTAAAAATGCTATACCTGTGGCCACAAAGCGGGTTGAGGGTTGGCTAGGAAGGCTCCCATCAGATGCATGTCTCCTGGAAGACCCTTCCTGATGGCTTTAATCTACTCCAGGTAGAAGATTGGTAGCAGCAAGCACACTGGGATGCCATGCCAATCAGGTGGCCAGGGTCTAGGCTGCTGTGTGATTTGTGGTCACTCTCTTCTATTCTTTGGATCTCAGCTGTTTTCTTAGTCAAATGAGGAATATGGGTTAGATGGTCCCTTCCAATCAGTAATATATCACATGACCATTACAACCAGTATCTCCAGATATCTGCTTTCCTAAGGCGATCTGTTTCATTAAATCGATTGAAATGTATGTATAATAATAAAGGAACTGTTGCAAAACAGGGGATATGAAGCAAATTTGGTCTCCGTCCCAGACGGACAAGGCTGACATAAAGAGACACAAGACAAGAGACAATAAAATCATTTTTTTTTAATTAAACATTAGAATAGAAAACAACATTCAGGTATCGTTTGTAAGCAAAATGTGAAATGTATACCTTGGGCAGCTGACGGAAAAGCCTTAGATGCTGCATATTTAGACAGAGATATGCCCTGTTTTCTAATATTTTCCTATGCCGAGTTTCACAGAGGAAACAGGATTTCACAAGCAACTTGCATTTTTTCAAAGCGAGAGAAGCAGGACATCTCAGCTTGGCGACGCAAAGCATTGGGGAGCATGCCTGAGGTGGGAGTGGTCTGATCTGACAATGAATCAGGGGCAGCTGACCAGAGGCAACAAAAGCAACTGTGTATGGCTGCTTGTTACGAAGCAAGTTTTAAAATCACATTTCCAAACACCCTCGACAAAGCCAAAAAACAAAAACAAAAAACAAAAAAACTTGGTGCCTTCTGGGGAGGAACGGATAATCTTTTTCTAACACCCTGGTAAAGAGCAGCAAGTTCCCTTCCCAGTCTAGAATGTGCAATTGTGCGGGCAGTTGCAAAGGCTTCACACACAGACAGGCGACTTGGCGAAACTGCATGGCAACAGCAACAAAAGTGCAGGGACTGCGGAACGTAGCCGTCTTTGAAACAACACCTTACATTATTCCGAAGCCAGATCGCTTTCACATGGCCAACCTCTCGAATTATTTATAGGAGATTGATTCATATACTTAACCAAATGTGAGAGGAAATACTTCTAATTATATCCAAACATCTTTAATATGAGGGGAATTATGCTTGGAGGCCTTCATTGCCAAAAACATGTTTTGCCAAATATGTTTTAAGAAAGAGGAGGAGGCTACGTGTTTTCCATATTTGACCCTATAAAAGTACCCTTGGAATGGGTACGACTTGTCTTTCCTCATAAAGCTTCAAGGTAAGTGTGCGTGAGGACAGGGCTCTGTCTGAAGACGGTAGGGATATCTGGCTTCCCGCCTGCATGCCACACATCCTGGCTCCCACTGCCCCTGGCAGTTCTTCCAGGGAGGCACCAACTTACTCCGTAGCAATTTTAATTAGCTGTTTTAGTGTTCCCAGTCATTTCCTGACTCTCACTTAAGAATTACGCTATTACTGGGAATGGTTAGAATCTAACCAGAAGAAATTCGCTCTTTTTCTTACAGTGCTGACCCACTTCCAGGTTCCATTTCTAAGGTAAGATACTGATTTTTTTTTCCCTCTCATTCTTCACTGGGTGCAAGAAATCTTGCAGTGGTTGGAGGGTGCCCAGGGGGTTATAATATGAAAGCATTTTCATTTGATGGCCAATCATGCTTCCCTTGAAAAATTCTGAGAGGGACTTTAGAAACTCGTTCTCATTCATTTATATCCTCTGCAATACCTTTAAATGCTTTCTTAGAGTTTTGAGGAGTTTTATACACAATTTTTTTTTTCTATTTCTAGCACTGCAGTCTGTCTTTTAAATAACTTACAACATGCAGTACAACATTTTGGTGTTATTATTCATTTATAGAGAAAATGTAAATTTCCTATATTACAGATTTTCCTCAGCACCATATACTGTAAAAAAAAAAAAAAAAAAATCAACCCTGAAATGCTGTCTGAATGAACAGAGTCCTTGCCTTGGAAAAACAGCTTAAATCCGCATGTTGTTTCACAGTCTATAAAATGGAAAAACATTTTTAAATGTTATGAAAAATGACTGTGAGCATTTTCAGCAAGACAAAGTATTTTGTATTATCCAAATCACTGCAGTTTGAATGGGAAAATGTAGAAAAGTTTACACAAGTGAAGAAAATATCTTTATTATTATAAAACAAATTACCTCTGATCATTATTGACAGGGTTAATGAATATTAAAGCAGCAAGAGATGGATGGATCTTGAAAAGAAAGTTTTATGAAATTTTTATGGGAATCTCAGTAATAAAGCAAGAAAACAGATAATAATATTTTATAATAAGTCTTCGAGAAATACTAAGGACAAGTAAAAAAGCCAAATTCTCAAAATTATGGAAACAAGAGAAACAAATGTAAAATAGAATAATTTTTTAACAAAACAATGTAAAGCAAATCTCCCTACATTTCTGCTTTCCTTTATCAGGTAGCCTTTGTAAATCTATAATGAATCCAAATCTATAATGAAAAGATTTTCACTACGTACAAAAATTTGTGGAATTTTCACAACATAAATCTATTGTACTTTTAATTCACAAAGCCAGCTTTGAGCCCTGCCCTGTATCCAGCATGTGTCCTAAGAGGTATGAAGGATGCCTTGAAAGAAGTGTTGCCTGCCTGCAAGGTGCTTATAATCCAACTGGAAGATAACAGCTCTCCATGAAAGAGCTAGGGGACACCCTGCCATCATCTTAGCTTGTGTTCTGTACAAGCCAATCACAGGCCACATATAGAAATTAACATACATACCAAATAAAACAGAGAAAGCAGCTACAATATCCTACAGCAGGTGAGCCAGAAACTACAGTCCCTGCAAATGCTCGATTAAGTACCTATCAGCATTGGCACAGAACACGAACACTGACATTTCATCTCCAGCCAAGCCAGGGAGGTAGGTGGTCATACTCAACACAATGCTAAGTGCTCAACTGCTCAGTGACTCAAAAATGTTTTCTTTTTCTAAATGTGACACTGAATATCTGAATTTCTAGAATATCTTTTCTTTCCCTTCCAGGCAGGGTCTTCGACTGAGCTGAGTTCAGCAGCCATGAGTTCAGACCAGGA